CTAGCAGCAAGTAGAGTAGGAAGTATGTGGGGCAGAGTCTGAGGACATGGCTCAGTGGATAAACACTCACCATGAAAGTGTGAAAAGAGAGTTTGGGTCCCCAGTGCACACATAAAAATTGGGCAGTCGGCATCCTGCCTGCAGTTCTGGTCCTCAAGATACAGAGACAAGATTTGGCTAGGCAAGATTAGCTGAGTCGGTGAGGTCCAGGTTCAGCGAGAGACCCTGTCTCAGTAATTAAAGTGGTGAGTGACTGAGAAAGACAGCCACCATAAACCCTGGGTCTCCAGACATACACACATACATGCATACCACATGTACATACACATATAAAAAAAGAAATATGTATGTGGGTGGGAATGTGCAGGACAGGATACATGAATGAATGATGAATGGGTGCATGCATGGATGAATGCTATGATGCATGCATCAATGAATGAGATACATGCATAAATGTACAATGCAGTGCGTGCATGCATGCATGAATGGATGGCATGATTCCTGCCCTACCATTGCTCACAAGAAGACAAATGCTTCCTGGTAGGTTAGATGAGTCTGAGTACTCTTGTGGGTACATGGGCAAGAACGCTCAGCACTGCCCCTGGGGACAGGTGAGGAAGGCTGCAGATGTAGAGGCAATACTTGGTTGGGGCCTGAAGGATACTCAGGGGTTGGAAGCAGGCATCCAGGATGAAGACACTGGTCAGGAGAGTGAAAAATGGGTCTTAGTGAAGAGCAGGGCTCAGTGAAGAACAGGGCTCATTGCTGATGGGTGTCACCAGAGTCCCAGACTAGAAAGTGCAGGATTCAATGTCAACTACATATCACAGACCAGCAGGCTTGACAGAGTAGTTCCACAAGCAACTGGTTGGTACTCAGGGCTTTGGTACAAGAAATGAAGCCTGAATTATGAGGGCAATTTAGGCTGGCCCTGAACTCACTATGTAGCTGAGGATGACCTTGAACTTCTGATCCTCTTGCCTCTACCTCCATAGTGCTGGGATCCTCTACAGCACTACCATGGTGTACCACCATGCTAGATTTATGTGGTGCTAGGGATGAAACCCAGGACTTCATATATTCCAGGCAAGCACTCTACCAACTGAGCTATGTCTCCATCTCTCAGATTTGAGTCATATATACGTACACACACATATATGTTGTTGTGTAGGTGTGTGCATAATGTGTGTGTTTCAGGGGGGTCATGCTGTTTATGTGTGGTGGTCAGCAGCCAACTCTGTGCGGGGAATCAGTTTCTACTTTCACCTTAATGTGCATTCTGGGGATCGAACTCAGGTCACCAAGCTTGTGTAACAAGTACTTTTTACCTGTTGGCCATCTCACCAGCCCCAGGTTTGAGTCTTGCCTAGCCTTGCAATGTAAATCATGGGCTAAGGGGAAAGTTATATGCTAATGAAGCTCCTAATTATTATTCATGAGAAGACAGTCACCAAGGGGAAGTAGAAACCCCAGAGACAAGGAAAGGGCCACAATCAGGCCCTGCTCCTGGGAGGTAGGGCAGTGTTTCCAGACTCCTGCTTTGTGTGCCCGGTTTGCCAGTCCTGAGGGGCGGAGTCTATTGGTCCTGCTAGTTCTGAGGCTGCTCAACCTGCCACCTAGTGGACACCTGGGTGGAAGCCTATATTGTGTGAAGCCAAAGGGGTTTCCCAGGGAAGGCTGCTTTGTGTAAGGTTTGTGGCAGAGAATGGCAGGGAGCATCACTGTTTGCACATTGGGGTTGGAGGGGCAGCATAGCCCATTTTCTCTGAGTTGGAGGTGGTTATAGTGACTGAATGATGTTTCGATCTATTTTTTGTTAACCATAAACCCATCTATACCACCCTGCTTAGTACCCATGGGTCTCCAATGATAATAGTTAACCTTCTACAGAGCCTTGACATATATAAACTCTGAATTCTCTCAGGAACTCTAAGGTAGGTACTTTTCTCATCCCCATCCAGAGACTCAAAGAAGTAAAGCAAAAAACTGCTCAAGCTCACAAAGGAAGTTGAAGACCTAGAACTGAAGCCGGACACTGTCATCCTGGGGCAGAGAGGAGAGAGCTCTGATGACCCAGAAAACCAATGAAGATTGTGACCCAGAGCCAGGTTCTGGCAGATCCTGGTCTTTGTGGAAGATTCCAGCTCTATCGTAGGAGTGGAGCCTGGACACCTTCAAAGTCTCTGTTTTCCTATCTGCATGAGGGGAGAATGAACATGAATCCACAGGACTTTATCAGTGAATAAAGGAAAGGGCACTCACAAAATACCTGAGGGATGGCAGGTACCTACCTCTCTTCTGCATAAAGCTGCCTCCAGGCTAAGCTCTGTTGCTCTTCCCACGCTAAGGCTTATGCAGTAAAGGGAAAGACTGGAGTGACTGGAAGTGGGGAGTAGAAGGGACCAGATTGACAAAAATGGATGAACTAAGCCACAAAAGCATGCTGCCTGGTAAATGATCATTCTCTTCAAAGCAATAGTCCTCTAGAGTGTGCAGTGTTCTAGAGCAAAAAACCAGAAAGTCAGTGCACTGGTGCTGTTTCTCCTGCCTAGACTGGAATCCAGGGCCTCCAACACACCCAGCCCCGAGGCGTCTCATTTCTGATGTGAAGGTCTTCCCAGCACACAGGAAGGTCTCCATTTCTTTCTTTATCTGCTTTCCTGCATTGGAGGAAGACAGGCAATTCTGCTCTAATCTGAGTCACAGCTGGTTCAAAATTTGGGCTCACAAGAGCTTACCCCAGGAGGGGGAACTGGGATGTTCCAGAGGATGAATTCATACATCTGTCTGAGGGTAGGCTCTCTGTGCCCCTGAGTGTACATGGGGGAGGAGAGGTGAATCTATGAGAACACCCTTTGTTTGAAAATGCTATTATATCTAAATGCTATGATATCTAAAACTTTGTATGCTAATTTAAAAATAAAACTAAAATTGAAAAGTACAAGAAAATGAGCTAATAACAAAGAAAGAAGAGGAAGAGACGGAGAAAAGAGAAGGAAAAGGAGGAAGAGGAGGAAGAGGAGGCAGAGGAGGAAGGGGAAGAGGAGGAGGAAGGGGAGGAGAAGTAGAGGAAGAGAAAGCCTAGATTTGAATTTAACATCTTGTTGTGTTGCCCCCCCCCAAGGCCTTTCATTAAAAAATTTTCATTCTCTTGGTTTTTTCCTCTAACCTCTACCCTTTTTATCCCTCCCTCCCTCCCTGCCTGCCTCTCTCTCCCCTTTCCCTTTCTTTCTTCCTTCCTTTCTTTCTTTCTTTCTTTCTTTCTTTCTTTCTTTCTTTCTTTCTTTCTTTCTTTCTTTCTTTCTTTCTTTCTTTCTTTCTTTCTTTCTTTCTTTCTTTCTTTCTTTCTTCTCTCCTGAGTCAGAATATCACTGTGTAACCCAAGCTGACTTGGAATTCAGTCTTCTAGCCCTAGAAATCACTCATGCTGTGGCACTGTAGTCATTAGCCCCTCTGTTTGGGGGGATTTTTTGCTTTGTTTTGTTTCTGTCATCATCAGTTACTAAGGTGCTAAAGTTTCACAGTCACATTCAAGGGATATTTTACAATCCATAGCCATCTACTTTTCATATATATATATATATATATATGCACACACATATATATATATATATATTTCTGGACAAAGTCAGGTATGCCCTGTATCTCCTTATTGGTTGAACTGAAACTCATTACCTTATAGAGCATTTGAATCCCCCATACCCAGTAAAATGTTTTAAAAGAAGTAAGGATGTCAAGTGTTTGTGTTTGCAAACACATTTTATTCCGGAGACAAGCTGCACTGGCTTGGAAGAAAAGATCTGAGGCTAGTGGATTCTGCACTGGGACCTCCTTCCTGACAGGGAGATGGCTCAGTAGGCAAAGGCTCTTACCACAGAGCCTGAGAATCTGAGTTCAATTCCTGGAACCCATACGGTGGAAGGAGAGAACAAACTCCTACAAGTTGTTCTCTGATCTTTCTCTCTCTCCTCTCTCTCTCTCCTCTCTCCCCTTTCTCTCCTCTCTCCTCTCTCCTCTCTGTCCTCTCTCTCTCTCTCTCTCTCTCTCTCTCTCTCTCATCTTTCCAAGAACAGGTGGAAGTTTTCACAATTTGGAACCTTTGGTTTATGAAAGATCATCCAGGAGCAAGACTGATGCCATTCTGTTCCTCCTAAGACTTTTAGAAGGTCCCTCCGGGCAGCCGGAGGCTGAGGCTGACCTGGACCTGGAGGGTTATTACCTGGGCCTGTTTAGACAGGGGTTGGATTAGGTGACCCCAGGAGGTCCTTGCGGACACGAATTCTGGGCACCTTCGTGACCACGTGTGAGTGTGTGGGGTGTTTGTGCGTGTGGGTCTGTGGGAGGCGCGTGTGGCCACGGGTGGGTGTGTCTGTGGAGCCCCAGCAGGCGGCTGCGGCCGGCTGTTCCCACTTGTGGCTCCCGGGCGCCGCCAGCAGGCACACCTCTGGAGGACGCTGCGGGATCGGAGCTGATGACTGAGGGCGCCGTCTCCGGAGTGATGGCAGTGCGCGCGGCCGCTTTGCCGCCTCCGCTGCTCAGCCGGGATCTCCTTACGTCAGGGTAGCTGGATCCCCTCACCGCGGGAGCCAGTGAGCAGCGAGAGACCCAGCCAAGCGCGCCGCGGAGCCGATCGCTAGTGCCGGCGCGACCCGCCGAACCCAGCCGAGCCCAGCCTGGCAGGAGGCAGCGCCCAACCATCCTAGGACGCCGCACAGGGACTCCGCACTCCGGGCCGCCACAACCTGGGACTCGGGAGCGCCGGGCTCGTCCTGTGCGCCCCTCGCCATGCGCGCCGGGCTCCTGGGCTCTAGCGATCTGCCCCAGAGCCGCGGCCACCGGAGCCCAGGCCTGGACATCTCTCATTGAAATAGTTAGGTGACCGGGACAGGGGTCGCCACGTCGGGGACTTGTCCGGGACCCGCGGAGTTGGCTTCCGAGCGCACAGAGCGGGGCCACCCGCACCGCTCCACCATTACCTCCCCGGGCGGAAAGGAAGAGCTGGTGGCGGTCGCCTCCCGGCTGTGGCAGCGGCGGCGGCGTGCCTGCCTGGCCGCCGTCGGCGTACTCCTAGCCATGGCACTGGGGCTCCTGATCGCGGTGCCCCTGCTGCTGCAGGCAGCACCCCCGGGCGCCGCGCACTACGAGATGCTGGGCACCTGCCGCATGATCTGTGACCCGTACAGCGTCGCTCCTGGAGGGGGCCCTGCGGGCGCCAAGGCTCCACCGCCGGGACCCAGCACCGCCGCCTTAGAAGTTATGCAGGACCTCAGCGCCAACCCTCCACCTCCCTTTATCCAGGGACCCAAGGGCGATCCAGGGCGACCGGGCAAGCCAGGGCCTCGAGGCCCTCCTGGAGAGCCAGGTCCGCCTGGGCCCAGGGGTCCTCCCGGGGAGAAGGGAGACTCGGGGAGGCCGGGGCTGCCGGGGCTGCAGTTGACAACCAGCGCAGCTGGTGGCGTCGGAGTGGTGGGTGGTGGAGCCGGGGGTGGTGGTGACATGGAGGGCGAAGTGACCAGCGCGCTGAGCGCTGCCTTCAGCGGTCCCAAGATCGCCTTCTACGTGGGACTCAAGAGTCCCCACGAAGGCTACGAGGTGCTCAAGTTCGACGACGTGGTCACCAATCTTGGCAATCACTACGACCCCACCACCGGCAAGTTCAGCTGCCAGGTGCGCGGCATCTACTTCTTCACTTACCACATCCTCATGCGCGGGGGCGACGGAACCAGCATGTGGGCGGATCTCTGCAAGAACGGGCAGGTCAGTGACTTTCTCCCACACTCGGCTACCTTGCTAGGGTCCCACAGATTGTGGAAGACCTTTACCCACGCCTGAAATCGGGTGGGGAACTATCCCCTTTTCTGCTACCAAGTACCACCAGAGCAAGTCTGGGGATGAAGTGTGCGTTGGACCGTAGATAGCATCCCGCTTCCCAGCGCTCTTGGGCTGCCTTTCCCAAACGTAGCGCACAAGGGTGCACAGAGCCCCTGCAACCCAATCTGGGCTCCCTCTCCCAGCAGCCTTCGCCTGCAGTCTCTGGGCTCTTCGGAAACCCCAGTTTTCTGTAGCTCCGTAGTTGCAGGTAAGGTCACCCCTTGCCGTCCAGTTTCCTTCATCTCGGTCTTAATCCCAGTTTCAACCCTAGCACACTGGGCCAGCGCCCCTGCAGCCAGCTCTCGCCACCCTTCTGTGATTCTCTGGCTGTGGGATGGGGAAGGAGGTGGTGAAAACGGAAGAGAGCTTGGAGGGGCAGGGGGAGGGAGTGTTGACCCCGAAGTCGCAGTCAGAAGGCCGACCAGGGACTAGCCAAGGAGGTTGGGCAAGGCCGTGGGAAGAGGTGCCTGCATGACCTGGCCACTCCTATGGTTCACCCTGCAGGTGCGAGCCAGCGCCATCGCCCAGGACGCGGATCAGAATTACGACTACGCCAGCAACAGTGTGGTACTGCACCTGGATTCAGGCGATGAGGTGTATGTGAAGTTGGATGGAGGGAAGGCTCACGGAGGCAACAACAACAAGTACAGCACATTCTCGGGCTTTCTCCTGTATCCCGATTAGGAGCATTGAGGGCGCGAGCTGGGGTGGCTTCAGGCCGCTCCATCTCCACCCAGGGCGCGCACGTGGCTCTTTGGTGAGGGTCACTCTTTGACTTCATGACACTTCCTGACATCTCCGTTGAAAAAGACATCCCTGCTGCCTTTCCCGTTTTGCCTCAGGCCTCAGTGTGTCTGTGATTCACCGTTGCTGCGGGGAGGCTGTGTCCCTGGTTCCTGTGACCAACCCGGGGAGGGAGAGGAGACACCCGAGTAGGGAGCTGAGCGCGAACCCCAGCCCTCTGGGGTTGGTGATGGGGCAGCCAGAACTCTGGAAAGCTGATTGGACCGGACAGGCGGCCCTCTAGAACCTGAGTTCTCCTGGAGCTCCCCTTTCTCCAGGTGTCCCCAGGCCAAAGGTTCCGGACCCCACTGCTAGCTGGGGCCTCCCTTTTTGTGACCCGCAATACTTGTGCAAATTATCCTGTCCACCAGCCAAAATCCCTGAGCTGAATTCCAGCAAACAGAAAATTCACCTTGCCACACACATCAAACTCCCTCGGAACTCAGACCCTCTGCCATGCATTAAATTATGTTTTTAGACTATGGGCTCCTGTTCTTTTTGTTACTATGGCCCCCTGTCCCGGACTCCAGACTCCCTTTGTGAAGGCCTGTAATCTCATCTATGACCTCTCTCCAGCCAGTGCCCTGCCCCTGCCACCTGGGATGAGCTGAAAGGTGAGGGGGAAATTAGAGCAACATCCCACCCTCTGCCCTGCAGCCCTGAGTTAAGAAGATGGGAGGAGGAGACCTGAGTTAGAGAAAGACAGGTGAGAAAGAGGTCTACAGTTTGGAGGGCTTTATTCTCCAGGTCTCCAGGAGGAAGTTACTTATCTCTGAAAAGTGGGAGATAATTATGAGATACTTGCCAGCAGGGACCCTAAAAGGAAGAGAAGACAAAAATCTCCTGAGGAGAAACCACCACTCCCTAGAGACCGCACACTCAGGAATATCTATCTATTCACACCTTAGATAGGTTTGTGGCCTCTGAAAAGAGCTGATAAACTAAGGCAAGTCTTGGATCATCCAGCTTTCTGTGGAAAGGAGAAAAGGCTATCCCTCATGTAATGGTGGCAGCTTTGTGGGCTCCTTCCATTTGAAGTGGTATGGCAGGGGTGTCTTTTCTTTCTCTCTTTCCTTAAGTGTGCTATACACCCAAGTTAGGAGACAACTCATAGGTTTAGGTTTTGGATTTTTTTTTTTTTAACTGTTTTGCCTTTGTTTTGAGAACAGCTCAGATAGTAAGTTATCTATAAAAGGTTATCTTTTACTTAGTGGGCATTTTTATTTATCTTAAAGTTAAATTTAAAAAATAATTTCAAGACAGTTTTTCTATGTAGCCTATGCTGACCTGGAACTGGCAATCCTCCTGCCTCAGCTTCCTGAGTGCTGAGGTGACAGGTGTGTGCCACCACCATGCCTGACCTTACTAGACTCATTTTGATTGTTTCAAAAGAAATATGTTTGTGGGATGATGAGATGGCTAAATGGGTTAAGGTGTTTGTCACTGTAACAGAGTTCCATCCCTATAGCCCAAGCGGTGGAAGGAGAAAATCAACTCCTACAAGTTACCCCTGACTTCCACATGGGCATTATTGCATACCCATGTCCACATAGACACACAGATACACACACACACACACACACACACACACATTTTTCGTGTGTGCGTGTATGTGTGTGTCAGAGAGACAAAGACAGACTACACAAAGGTAACACTGGAACCTGTGTATCTAGGTGAAGTTGTACACTTGCACACTACTAATGTGGAAATAATTGTTATCTTCATTTAATTCATGTTGCACACATACACACACACGTACCTGCATTCATGCCAATGCAGTGTATAAAAATGTTCTTGGCTGCAGTCTACCCGCAAATCACATTGTGCAGGGGGTGTGCTGAAAGCTGCCATTCCTTTAGAAGGCAATTATCTTGCTGCCTCAAGTCCAGTGGCTACTACTTCCTTCTGCACTCTTATTTATTTGAATAATGTTTTCTAATCATTCACTTGAATGTAAGCAATGACCACGCTTGTGTTGAGTCCGAGACTAAAGTGCAAAAGAGAGGTAGGGAAAAAAATACTATAAAATTATCATTCCCCAGTTCCACACCCAAACAGAACCCCAACTTCCCATGCCATGCTACCCCCACTAATGGTGGAGCCCAAACCCAGCTGAGCCCACCTGCACCAAGGAATAAGTCTACAGTTGCATGGGCATCATTTTTCTGATGCCTTGCTGATTATATCGTCCTGAAATGCGATTAAAACCAAATGTCTGCAACCCAAATGAAGTCTAATTGCTATGGATCTGCAATCCCCATTGGGGCCCCTAATCCTTTTTGACTTATTCCTCCCCTTCCTCTGATGAGATGGAGCTTAGACACAAAGCCCTCGGTTTAAATTTCAAAAATTAAAATTGACATGCAGCGGTGGCTTTCCTGAGAGCATGGAGGAATTTCTAAGAGGTGCCCAGCCCAGCTTTAGCCTCTGCATTAAGAAGCAATTTGTACTTCTAACCAAACCCCCAGCCCCTCCCCTTTGTCAGAGGGCAGGGGAGATACCTTGCTCCATCTGACTGTTCACAATACTTAGACAAATTTGAAGCTGAGATTCCTCCATCTGTATTCCCTGGCAACCCAGGCTTCTTGCAATTCTAATGCCAGTGCTGCTGGGAGGCTCTGCCAGAGGTGTCAAGTGCTAAGAGGATGATGGATTGATGAGCGAGCAGCGGGAGGGGAGGGAAGGCCAGTAAGAGCAAGCCAGAAGTCTCTGCTTCTATTCTTCTGGTACCAGACAGTCTCCTCAGGGCCTGCTGGAGGGGGCACAGTCCCATCATGTTTGTAGGGACTCTCTGAGAAGGGGACAGGCTTTGATGGAGATCAGTCTCCATTATAGCCACTTTTATGGAACCATCATAGACTTGGGGTATTTATGGGATACTAGAAACCTTTCATCCTAGGCACTTATCCTTGCAACTATAAAGTGTTGCTTTAATCTCCTAACTTCTTTCCTAGCTGTGTTCCTGGGCTGGGAGCGTCATACAGGCATGGCCAACAAATAGGCAAAGAACTATTTTATCTGCTTGGAAACTGGAGAAATTGAGGCTCAGAGAAAGTCAGGACTGGCCCAAGTCTCCAAACTTTCAAGCATTTCAACTAGGAGGCTGGACATGGTGGAACACTTTTAATCCCAGCGCCCAGGAGGCAGAGGCCAGCAGATCTCTGAGTTCCAGGCCAGCCAGTACTGCATAGTGAGAACTTGTTTTAAAAAAAATAGAAAAGAGTTGCAACTGGGGCTAGGGCATGGTTCACTTGGCAAAATGCTTTCTTTGCATGTACACAGTGGATCTGAGTTTGATCCCCACAACCTACATTAAGAAGCTAGGCATGGTGGTGCATGCCTGTTCCCAGCCCTGGGGAAGGAAAGGCAAGAGGATCCCTGGAGCTTTTTGGCCAGTTCTTCTAGTCTTCTTGATGAGCTCTAGGACAGTGAGAGAACTTTTCTTAAAAATACAAGGTGGACAGGTACCGAGGAATAGCATCTGAGGCTGACTGGTGATCTCCATAACATGAACACATTTGTACATATCCATCTATATACCCAAGTGCATACACAGACATGGAACCGTAGCTGGGATTTGACTTTGACTTCCAGGTTACTCTGTTGTGTGACTGCACGTAGAGTGTGTGTCCACCTCCTAGAATTCCTACGCCTCTGAGGGGGAGGACAAATGGGGACTATACTTCCCACTCTCCTCTGATGCCTGTCAGACAAGAAGCCTCATCTCTGCCTCTATCTAAGTCACCTTCCCTAAGGACCACCAGATGCATGTTTTTCCTCCCAGGGATGGAGCTAAGCATTTTGGCCTTGGGGTAGATAATGTTGATGGCCTTGGGTTAATGCTGATGGCCTAGTGGGACCTTAGGCCACTAACTCCAAGTACTCCATGTGTCATGATAGCTCTTCTCTTCTCTCTTGGTGGTGACAAGGAGGGTGTCCTTCAGGTACCAGAGCTTAGCTGAGGTGGGCACCTGCTGACTTTGCTTGGTGGGAGGGCTCTTTCCTCTTCTCAAAGTCAACATCAGTGTGACTGGTCATCTTCATGATTGCCTAAGTTCATAAGATCATACCTGGCCAGGAAGTATAGGTTATGCCTTTTGCTATGTCTCTCCTCTGTCTGTGTGAGAAGATAGCTTTTTTCAGTCTCCAAGACAAAAATCCAGGTCCCCTCTGTTTCCTGATCATGTGGTTCTATTGGTTAAACATTTTCTGAATACTCATATCAACATATATATTTGATGTATGAATAATTTATGTATGCCATCATCAGCCTATACTTAAAATTTTTCCATCTTTTATATTTATATTCATCTGAGAGCTCACATTCAAGTCAGCGTCTATATCCTAGCTGGCCAATCAAGTCTGGAAGCAGAAACAAAAATAAAAGAGGGTTAATCTGTGAGCTGCCCTTTTCAGTGCCATTTTCTGTCTTAGCCATGTAAGTGTATTCTTTTATGAGTCAAAGATAAACCTGTGCACTTTAATTCTTGGAATGCATACTTTTTTCTTGTTTTAGGTATTAATATTAGTAATTTTAATCTGTCTTTCTTTTCATTTAATGAATGTTTAACTTTTTATTTAGGTAGCATACAAAATAGTGTCTCTTATTATGACATTGTCACAAATACATGTAATTTGTTCAGGGTCTTACTGCAGAGCCCAGTCTGGCCTCCAACCTGAGATCCTCCTGCCTTTGCCTCCTTCCTGTGGGGATCACAGGCATGTAACTACTGTCGGTATTTCTTTGGTTGATTATTATTTGTTTTGAGACAGGGTCTCATACGTGGCTGTCTGGCCTCAAACTTTTTATCCTCCTGCCTTTACCTCCTGAGTGAGATTACAAGTGTGTGCCCCCATACTCAGTTTATCCCCCCACCTCTCTCTCTATTCAAAAGAAATAAAACTACAGTTTCTGCCAGGCACACACCTGTAGTCTTAGCTCTCATGAGGACTGAGGCAGGAGGACCATCAATTAGAGGCCATCTAGGTTGTGTAGTATCTCGGTTTCTTTTCCTGTTGCTGTGAGAAAATATTCTGACAAATGTGACTCACTGAAGTTTATTCTGGCCCACAGTTCAAAGTGCAATCCAGCCCGGCAGGGAAGTCAAGGCAGCAGGAGCCAGAGCAACTGGTCACACTGCATCCACAGACTAAGCAGAGAGCACTGGGTGCCTGCTAGTACTGAGCTTCCTTTTTTCTGTTTTACACAGTCTAAGATCCCCTGCCCAGGGAATGGTCCCACAAAATTAAGATGGGTTTTTTCCACATTAGTTAACCCAGTCAAGATGCAACCTCACAGGCAAGCTCAGGGGCCCGTCTCCCACATGATTTTAGATCCTGTGGATTTGACCGTTAACACCATCACACATGGCAAGACTTTCTAAAAAACAAAACAAAACAAAACAACAGTAAAAGTTCCAATACTTCCTTCTTACATTTGGTTTTTGGAGACTG